CATAAAATTCTACGAGCTGTTATCTTCTTGTCTTCTCATCTCCAGAAATGCTCAGTTCAGATTGGACCTGAGGATAAAGCAGGGCCTGCAGCTCACCCTTGGGTGCTGATACTGCACAGAGTGCTCTCCTGCAAAATCATCATCATCCTCATCTTTGGGTTAGCTGGTGATGTAACTCACTCTTTCCCTGCTGAATTTCCATCAGAATTCATCCTGCAAGAATTTCTGCAAGTTCCAGACCACAAATGAAAGCAAACTGTAATTTTTCAGAGGATGTGTCTAAAATTTGGCTCCCCGTGAGGTGCTTCTTTCCAGAGATGAGTAATGCAACAGAAAAGTGTGATTTTAATTAAATTCAGCAGCTTTTGGTATGTTCTGATGGGTCTTGTTCTGCACAGGGAGAATTGCTTTTATTCTGATTTATATAAATGGATTTTGGGGGCATTATTAGGGTGGTTTTACCTCACAGGACCAGGATCATTGCCTGGTGCTGCTCCTTTTCACAGGTGGGAACCAAATTTTGGAGGGGCAGCTCCAGGTCAGCTCTTTGCTGGTGCCTGCTCAGCTCCCAGCCGCCTCTTGGTAAATTAATGCTGTTTTTTATATAAATTAATCTGCCTAATTCCATGAAGCCAGTGAGGGGAGCATTTTTTGTGGTGTGTAAAAGTCTTGGAATGATATCTGATTTTCTTTGGGCAGCTCCAGGAGTGCTTGGGGTGGCAGGCCCAGGGTTACAGAACTGACAGGGGGCACAGGAATGGGGTGATCCCCAGTGCCTCGTCCTCCTGGAGAAAAAGAGGAGGAAAAAAGAAAAGGGGAAGGTTGGAGCTACCAAAATTATGTTCTGGGAACAACCAAAGTCTGAAATTTTGGGATTGAAGCAGCATTAAACCTCAGCAGTGGGACAGAAGGACTTTTCTGGAAGTATGGGAGGTGTGGGGCTGAGAACCCCACTCTCAGACTCCCATGGGAACACAGCCTGAAGCTTAAAATGTTGATTAAATGTGTCCTGTGGGATTTCTGTGCATTGCCTTCAGAGCAGGGATATCAGGGGGTCTGCACACCCAGCCAGGGCAGCTGGAAATCCTGCAGGGTGCAGTTTCAGGCTCCACACCATGGGAATATTTTTGTGCCAGGAGGATCCAGCACAGCCCTGTCCATCCCAGCAGAGCTGCAGGAGCTCCTTTGCACCAGCCTGAGGCTCTGCTCCTTGCCATTAGTGCAGAAATGCCTCGCAGAAGGGACAGCAGATGGGAGCAGCTCAGGTTTCCCGGGTGTCACACACTCCACCTGCTCTGCAAAACACCCAAGTGTTATCCCTGGGCTCAGGGAAACGGGCAGATCATCCTGCTGGTGCTGGCAGGGTGGAATCCCCCTCCAGGAAGGGATAAATCACCTCCTTTACACTCCTCAGGGGGTTTGCACAAGTCAGGAAAACTTCCTTGCCTGGCAAACCATCTCCACTGGGAGCAGCTCCTTGGGATGGAGCGGGACATTTCCCCCCTCTCTGCTTCTCACCAAGCTTGCTGTTCCCAGGGCTGGTGTTTGACCCCAAGAAATCAGAGTGGAGAGTGGAAAAATGGTAAATAAACCACGCTGGGTCCTCCTTGCTCTGTCCCACGTGGGTTTATTGTATGAGGCCAAGGTGCTCCTGTACAAAAGGATCAGAATGGAGCTGCCTCATCCCTGCCCCTCTGCGCCCTGCAGAGATGAGGAGCTGGCTTTATTGCTAGGACAAGGCAGCCCAGATGCTGAAATATGCTCATAAATAAATAACCAAACCCTCCTGTTTATTGCTGTTAGAATTGCAGCCTACCTGGCTCTTCCCGTTCAATAATTCAGAGCAATGAGCAGCCAGGCAGAGTGGATGGTGAGGATGGGGTGTGGGAGGGATCACAGGGCAACCTGAGAGCAAGGGAGGGTTTTTTTGCATGAGGTGCCTCATAAAATATTAATTAATTGTCCCTGTGGGTGATTGCTGTGGCTGTGGCTGGCTCTGCCTGTGTCCTCTGGGAGATCCAGAAATGGCCAAAAAGTGTTTTGTAAGATCAAGGGGGTGCTTGGCATCAACGTGTGCTGTAATCCTGCCCTCCAGAGGAGCAGCTCGCTGCAAAGTCCAGAACAAATTGCTTGGTCCTTTCTTCCCTTTTCAGCCCTGAACAAACCCATCAGATCGATCCCACTTCCCTTCCCTCCTTTGATCTCTGTGCACTGCTGTGGGGTCTGTCTGGGCAGGAGTCGACTTTGGGAGCTTGATTATCTCTTAAGAGCCTGTTCCAGCTCTGTTTGATGCATTGGGGGCTTTTCCTTTTCATCTGAGCAGGGTGGGGCTGGCAGCAGCCCTGGCACGGGCTGGGAGGATGGATGGCTCAGCAGGTGCTTTTGCATGGTGGTGGAGGAAGGAAAGCTGGTGCTCAGCTAAAGATATGAAATAAGAGACATTTTCAAATGAATTTTAATAAACTGGGGTCTCTGCAGACCTGTTGGGTTTCACTGGACTCACAGTACTCATTGCTGTTGGGCTTTCCCAGCTCTACATAAGGAGTTGCAGTGTGCCTGGAGGTTTTGGACAATTTCCCAGGGAATCCAGAGCTTTTATTTCTTTTGACTGACAACATTTTTACTCATTTTACAAAAAAAAAAAAGGACACAGAGATTGGTCCCAAAGCAGGAGTTTGCTGTTGGGGAGCTCATGGCTGGGGAAGGTGCAGATCCATCACCTGGATGGAGATGCTGCTCCCTGCATGGCTGGGGCCAAGGGCAGGACCTGTGGGATGGTTCTGAGTGAAAAATCCTGTGCTGGTGACAAATACTGCCTTAAAAGATCTCCCAGCTGGCTTTTCTGTGTGTTGCCTTGATGGGATGGGAGTGAGAGCAGAGTTCCTCTCCCCCACTCTGTCCCTACCCCATCAAATCAGATTTTGCAGCCAGCTGAGGTGTGTTCAGTGACAAAAAAATTATAAATGGGTGTGTAAGGGAGCTTAAGTCAAAAGTAGGGAGATATTTCAGATAGTGGCTGTTGGTAGAGCTAAATTAAATTGTGTTGTTCCACTTAGAACTCCTGGGGAAGAGCAAGGGATGAACAAAGGAAAAACCCAAGGCTTTGTCCCAAAAGCTGCCCTTCAGCTCTGGATTTTGGATGGTTCATTTAGTAATCCTCACCCTGGTGTGACTTCTCCCTCTAATTGCACTCTCTGAGTCCTTATTTAGCCATTAGCTGCCACTGCAGGGACACAGGTTATTAATTCCTCCCCTGCCCTGACTTTCACTCTGGGCCTCACCAGCACTCAAGGTGAAGCTGGGAGGGCCAGGGCAGCTGCATCCCCATGAAACTCTGATTAGAAAACATTTTTCTCCCTTTTCTGTTCCTTGTCTTACATGGGGGCTGTGTCACAGGAGCCAATTACACCTCAAGCCCAGATTTATGGCTGGACATGTGTCCGTGTGATTTTAGCATTTTTTATGGCTCTTTTACTCCTTTCTCTCTGGTGTGGTGAGCGCTGGGGAAGGAAACACTCAGAGAATAAGAGCAGAAAATGCATGTGGGAGAAAGGAGGTCGTGCCTTGTGGTGGATTTATTATTGTTGTTGTAACAAATGATATTTAACCAGAAGTCACCTCTGAGTTCTGCCTTTTAGCCTGGCAAAAAAGAGCTTTGCATCCCTTGCCTTCCTCCCTCCTGTGTTGCCACTTTGGCCATGGACACACCTTGGGATGGCTGGAATTGCTCCATGGCTGGGCTCAGCACAGCTCTTTCCCCTCCTGGTCCTGCTTTTAACTGAGCTGGCTGCAGGTCCCAGCTCTATTTCAAACTGCTGGGAGTGGAGCTGCTCACCTGAGGAAGGCTGAGGTGTAGCAAGGGAGAGAAAGCAAATTAATGCCAGTGAAAGCATCCAGAAATAGCAAATTCAGGGGCTAACCAGGCCACGTATTAAATCTTTCAGGAGAGGCAATCTATCATGGGCAGGGAGAGGAGAGGAGGGAATTGCTCCTGAGGGCAGTTGGAGGTTCAGATGTGGCCAGCTTTGCTCCTCCAGTGTCCCATGCCTGTGGTTGACAGCCTGGGGAGCCCCACCTGCCCTCCAGGATGCCCAGGAGGGATGGGCAGAGCTGCTGCCACCCCTCTGTGTCCCTGTGCTGTCCCTGTGCCCATGGGGATGCTCCAGCCCCAGCCCAGCCTGGCCCTGTGCCAGCAATAATACGTGGGCTTTAATTAAAACAGTATTTCTCATCTCCCTCATACATTATTTGGTTATTGCTTCAGAATGAGCCAAGGAATTCTTGTGTTCCCCCCACTCCCTCCCTCGCTCCTTTAATCTGCTTTTTCCCCTCCTTTCTTTCTGCCCTTTTGGTGTCCTTTCCCTCATCTCCGGGGGTTTTAACTTTTTTCAGCTGTCACAAAGTTGTTGAGATGAGGAAGCCTGGGGTTCATAGGGACTCATTCATTCCACTGGCATTGCTGGGAAATGCTTCCAGAGAGGCAGTGCAGAGCCTGGCTGAGCAGGGAAGGAGCTCACAGGTGGAAAGACTGGAGGAGAAGGTGTTTCTGCATCCCAACAAATCCAACACCAGGCTGGAATTAAGATTCCTGAGCAGGGAAGGAGCTCACAGGTGGAAAGGCTGGAGAAGAAGGAGGAGGTGTTTCTCCGTCCCAGCAAATCCAACAACACCAGGCTGGAATTGATTCCTGAGCTGTCTGTGCGGCACCAGCACAGCAGGAAGGGCTCAGCACCACAGGGGCTCTGAGGTGCTGTGCTGTCAGCCCATGCAGCTGCTCATTTTGGTGCCCAAGTGCTGCCCTGTGTGCCCAGCAGCCTCCCCACCTGCATCCCTGCCATCTGTGCCCTGGGGAAGCAGTGGAGCTGGGACCAAACCAGCTTTGCAGTGAACATTCTGTGCTGCTCAGCAGGATGCTCAGGGCTGGGCTGAGCTCAGGGGCTCTGCTGTGAGGGGTGAGGCACTAAAATAAAATCTAACCCTGTCATTCTTTCCCTTGCCAGGCCCTTCCCTTCGGAGGAGACCACGGAGAATGACGATGACGTGTACCGGAGCCTGGAGGAGCTGGCAGAGTGAGTGGCCTCACCGTCTCCTCCTGGGAGGGCTCAGGGAAAAGCTCCTGTGGCTTTTCCAGCAGAGGCAGATAAAGTTTGACAGCAGGGCTGGGAGAGCCAGCACGGCTGCTTTGATCCTTTGGCCAGGAGATTTTTGTGCTCTGACAAAAGTCCATCTTTTTCTGGTGGGAAAACCCTGGAAGATGTCACTTTTAATCAGGTTGAGCTGATCAGTGGCTTGTTGTGGGGTGAAAGGGGCCAAACCCAGAGGATCCTAAATCCCAAACCCCTTCATCCTCTGAGGTGATCCAAGGGAGTGAGGTACTCATTCCCCCCATGGCATTTTTTGGAGCTGCACCCCCATGTGTGATTTTGGCCCTGGGGCAATCAGAGAATAGTTTGGGTTGGAAAGGACCTTGAAAACCATTTCATCCCACCCATTTGCAATGGGCAGGGACACTTCTCACTATCCCACATGGCTCCAAGCCCCATCCAAGCTGGCCTTGGACACTTCCAGGGCTGTGGCAGCCACATCCTGCCATGAGACCCATCCTGCTTGTCCTTGGTGGGACGTGGGGTGATGCTGCTGCTGTCTCTGTCTGTGTTTATCTGGTTTTTGTGCCTGTGGTGGTGATGTAACAGGCTTTTAAAATCAACCTTGAACTGCAGGCACTATTGGAATTCAATGGCAGCATTCCCATCGAGCCAGGGCTCTGTCTGCCTCATATGGAGGGATGGAGTGCGTGGCTGGATGTGTGGCTTTATGCAGTTAAATATTATTGTTCCACAACATAAATAATAAGGCTCCTTAATCCAATGAGTTCCTTATGGCTTCAGTTATTACAAAAGTAAATCATAAATTACCAGCAGAGGGAATGGAGTGCCCTGGAATTCCCTGCTTGCTGTTGGCTCCCAGCAGCTGCAGTTTAATAAAATTTTAACTCAGAAAGGGATCTTTTCAAGAATAGCATTTTTTGTGTCCCCTCTCCGAAAGTTCTCAAAATCCCTTTAATATTGGGGTTTAAAATTCCTCTTTCTCACACACAGATGTGCTTTTAATTAGAGAGAGATTTGTGTGGGGACTCTCACACGAGTGCTGGTGGGGATGGCAGTGCTGGCCTGGAAAGGAGAGTGGGTTTGGGGTGCTGCCCTTGGTTATTTGGTGCTGGGATTGGGTTCCCAGACTGGTTCCCTTGTTCCAGTCTGCTGGGGACAAGGTGTCCAGATGGAAACTTCCCAAATTGTCCCTTGGTCAGAGGGGCTGTGATGCCCTTCAGATAATTTGGAGGTTTATTTCCACCGATTTCCCTGTTCTGTCCCAGATCTCCAAATTTAACTTTCCCTGTTTGCCCATTCTCTGCAAAATCCTCTTTTTTACATCTTATTTAGGACTAGTGGGGGAAAGGCATGTTGAAATGAGCAGGGATTGCACAGATTCCCTCATGCAGGCCTGTCCTCCTTGTGCATGGAAACACGGCCTACAAAACAGTGTCAGAATCCACCCACAGCTGGAAAAACCCCAAAAACTCCCTGGAGAACCCCTCAGCCTTTTCTCTTTGGAGAAAAAGCTCAGGATAAACTCTCAGTTGATTCTAACAAGACATTTTGGGGGCTGGTAAATGAGTTTCTTTTTTTTTTTTTGGAGGATGTCAAAATGCTTCATTTCAACTTTAGTGGAGTAGTTTGGCGTGCCCAGGTTGAGATTTTGAATTCCAGTGCTGCAGAGCCTTTAAGATATGAATATATTTGAGATGGAGGTGCTGATTTGAGGAGCAGAAGGAGCCAGGCTTTGTCCCTGTCATCCCCATGATGCTCTAAAGAGTGAGAACCTTTATCCTGACAGCTCTCCCAACAGGAGACAAAAACCAGGCCTGGACAGGGGCTGCAGGAACAAGCTGTGTGTGAAATCATGGGGTTCTGTGTGTTTAAAGGGTGTTTAAGCCTTGCTGACCCCATTGTGCTTTCACCTTTGGGGTGGTACAGGGATTAATCCCAGCCCCAGACAGATCAAGGCACATAATTGCCTGGAAACAGCTATTTAGTTAAAAAAAAACCCCGAACAATTGGTGATGAAAAGGGGAAGGGAAGCTAAAAGGCTATCAGGGGAGTTGGGAAGTTCTCAAATTCCCTGTTTCCAGCCCTCTGGCCCCTCGGTTTGCTGTGCCCTGGGCCAGATGGCAGCTTGCAGGCAGCCTGGGCAGATGGCAGGGGCTGCTTGCATTGCAAGTGCTGCTGATCGATGCTGTGAGGGGCTGGAAAGGGACAATTGGCCTCTGCTGCCTGATTTATTCCAGCCTGCCCCTTGCCAGACCCCAGAGCAGCCATTTGGGGGGTGTTTGTCCATGAAATGAGCTGGGTTTTGCAGCAGCAGCACAGTGGGTTCATCCTCTGTGTCCCCAAATCAGGGATTGTCAGTGACCCTTGTCCCAAGGATGCTCCTGCAGCCATTTGGGAGGAGTTTGTGCATTAAATGAGCTGGGTTTTGCAATAGCAGTGTGTGGGTTCATCCTCTGTGCCCCCAAATCAGGGATTGTCAGTGACCCTTGTCCCAAGGATGCTCCTGCAGCCATTTGGGAGGAGTTTGTGCATTAAATGAGCTGGGTTTTGCAATAGCAGTGTGTGGGTTCATCCTCTGTGCCCCCAAATCAGGGATTGTCAGTGACCCTTGTCCCAAGGATGCTCCTGCAGCCATTTGGGAGGAGTTTGTGCATTAAATGAGCTGGGTTTTGCAATAGCAGTGTGTGGGTTCATCCTCTGTGCCCCCAAATCAGGGATTGTCAGTGACCCTTGTCCCAAGGATGCTCCTGCAGCCATTTGGGGTGTGTTTTTGAATTAAATGAGCTGGGTTTTGCAATAGCAGCACAGTGGGTTCATCCTCTGTGCCCCCAAATCAGGGATTGTCAGTGACCCTTGTCCCGAGGATGCTCCTGCAGGTCCCTGGGGAGGGGAGCTGCTGCTTCCCACATGGCTGTGGCTGCTGGCAGCTGATGGCAGGAGGCAATTATCCACCTTGCTGCCCTGCCAGCTGCTTTTCCATCCCCCTTTATGGCTCTTTCAGCTGCTCCAAACCATCCTGGTACCTCAGAGTTATATTTAACGTCTCACCTAAATTTTCTCCGCTGCCACTTGAGCTCTCTCCAGTTATTTTGTCTCATTAAATTTATGGCAGTGATTAATCCTGGCCCTCTCAACAGCCCCAGAGCCTTCTTTATGATGAACCTTCTCCTCTGCAGTGACACAATTAGGTAGATGACACAGGGCAGATTTTGGGTTCTTTGTTGGCTGCTTGAAGAACTCAGAATCAGGCAGAAGTTCTGTGAATGGTTTGATGTGAAACATTTAATTTGCATGACTTTTACCTTTGTTTTCTCTTCTGAAGATAATTTGTTGTGAGGAGAGGAGTTGTAGTGTTGCATAAAGGACCAAAAAAGTGTTTTAGGCAAAGCAGGTCCCCTCCAAAACCTACCCTTGGAGAGCTTTGTCCCACAGGTTGATGTTGATGTCCCTTGCTCTTGTTTTGAGCTGCAGCTCACTGGGAATTTATCCCTAACAAATTTATTGGGATAATTGTGTATTCCCAACCTTTCCATCCTGGAGAAGGGGGGAAGGAGTTCTGCTAGGCCACAGTTTCTCAAGTGATGCCTCTTCTGGGCTCAGCTTCTTGCTGAAGTTTCTCCTGCTTCTTTCACTTCTTGGCCCCCTCACATTTTCCAAAATAGTGCTGTGATCAGCAGAATTTCTCAAACGCATTAAAAAAAGTAACGAGCACAGGAGCCAAGGTGAGATGATGAGTGAGCTGCCACTTTTCTCATTATTTTTATGTTGGACAAAGCAGGCACGACAGCCCCTCAAATAAATGGCTCTGTGGTGCAGGGCACTTGAGCCAGAGTGCCTGTAAATGTGTCTGTCCCTTGTGTGTCACTCCTGTTGATTTTTACATGTCCTGCTTGTGCCATTTCTTGGATCATATTGGTCACTTTTCTTAGGATCAGAGCATGAGAAATTCCACTTGGAATGGGGAATGTAAGACCCAAGAATAGATGGGAAAAGGCTTCTGCTATTTCCAGATGAGTGTCTCCATCCAAGTCCAATCTGAGTAATTAAAACCCTGCAAGATCTCGAGTCCTCCAGCTGCACATCTTGCACTCCCTCACCCTGAAACCTAAACCTGCCAGATGTGCTGCAAATTCAGGGTTCTGCTTGTCCTCTCTGTCAGAATGAGGGGTTTGGTTGAAGGAGTTGTGTATTTATAGCTGTGAGTGCAGAGTGAGGATGAGAAAGTGGGGATTGGGAGGGGCTGGAGCCTCACAGCTGCCTCAGAGACCCTGCAAATCTCCCAGCCTGGACCTGTGGTGGCTCTGAGATCTTCTGGCTCTTAACCCTGGTCACAGGACTGGAAATTTGGGGCTGTCTCTTGGTTGTCTTATTTTAGCTCCTTCTGTCTCTTGCTGCTCTTTCTTTTGCTGTTCCTGGTGGTTCTGGCTCTTTCCTCAGCGTGGTTTGGACGGAGTTCTGCTGTGGTGAGTTTGTCATGAGGGTTTGTCCTTGAATTCCTGAGGCTGGTACAAACTCATCAACTCCCCACAGCAGCTTTTATGGCTGGAGAGGCTCTTCAGGGGCCCTGAAATCCCTCAGGGCTTCCCCAGTGTCACTGCAGGGATGAGTGCAGGGTTCCTTCAGCGTGGAGGACCTGCTGCATGTCATTTATTGCGGCATGACAAACTGTTTGTGCCTATGGTCTCTTCCAGCCCTAAACATGCTGCAATTTTATGGATTTATCCTTCATTTTCCTCTACTCCAAGGCAGCATCCTGGCACCATTCCCTCAGTTTTGGGAGCTGCTCCTTGGCATGGCTCTGCCTGCCTGGGTGGGTGTCAGCGCACAGCAGAGTGAGGCAGAGCTCAGCCAGAAGCATTGTTTTAGCCTGAAATTGCCTTAGATATGAAAAGCTTTATTCATTATCAGCTTTTCTGGCTCGGCAAGAGGCTGCCAGCCCAAAGCTGGTTGCATCCATCCTAATAACAGTAATTGCACGTGCTGGTGTTCCCTCTGAAGGGCGGCTGAAATCCCTTTCCTAACCCCAGAGCTGTCAATGAATCTCCTAATCCAGGCAGTAGATCACAGGCTCTGATACCCACGGGTAGCTCACAGACTCTGCTGCTTTTATTGAAGGAGTAAATTGCTTTTCTTTGTGAGGAATGAGGTGATCTGGCTTTCCTTGCTCAAGTTGTTCCGTCTGCCTGTGACACGCCTGGGATGCTGAATTTATTGCCTGAATTCAGTGTGTCCTGAGCTTTCCACTGGCTAAAATCATCCCAATCCCTGTTTTAAGCACAGGGAGGGTGTGTATTTTCACAAGGTGGGGACAGGTGAGGATCAATATGTGCAAAGCAGAGATGTCAACATCCACAGGGCCCTGCAGGAGCTGGGCTGCTCCAGGAGAGGCTGATCCTCGTGCTTTACTGCTCTCCATAAAAGCTGCCAGCCTCTGGTGTTTCTCAGAGATGCACTGAGAATGTGTTTTAATAAATAACAGACTGCTGGACCGTGGTGATGTTGTAATAATGCCACGGTTGTTGGGTTTGAGGAACTCTGCTGCATCCCCCCAGAGCTCTGGAGTGGAGGTGTCTCTCTGGGTGTCCCTAGGATGTGGGAATAGTTCCTGGTTTTTTCCCCAAAATCAGAAATTGGAGTAGAGAAGGGCTTCTTGTGCTGTGGAGCACCAGGAAGGGCCGGAGCAGCGAGGCTCAGCCCCTTCATTAGTGGAATGGAGCTGTCAGGATGTGGCCCCACGTGGTGGGGGCAGCATTTGTGTCCAAGGGCTGTTGGCACATTGTTGGCACTTCTGAGGGCAAATCTGCTGGATTGTCCCTTGGGAGATGTTTCTTTCCTGGTGGGAAAGGCCTTGGGGCATCCACCCTTCTCCAGTCTCAGCCCATGATTGAGCAAAACCCATCTGGCACTTGGGGACATGGCTGAGGGGTGCTGGTGCTGGCTTCAGGTTGAACCAGATGTTCTTGAAGGGTTCTCCCAACCCTGATGATTCTGTGAAAGCTCCTTCAGAACACACCCCTGCTTGTGTGTTTATTTCTCCTCTGGTTGTGTTGATGCCTCAGGAGGAAATGATACCTCAGGTTTAGCTTTTATATTTTTCAGATTCTGTGCTGCTTTGGTGTGTAATTCTGAGCTTCATATGAGAGGACGGTGAGCTCTGTGCACAGAGCAGGGAGACAAAACAATTCCTGCTCCAGCTGGGCACCAAGGACAAATGATCCAAATCTCAGCCCAGGAGCACAAACCCCGTGGGCTGGAGAGAGAAAAACAAGCAGGGTGGGACTGCATGGGCTAAAGCTGGAATGGGACAATGAACTGAAAGGTGCAAATGGAGCAGAGCTGATCCAAGGGAGAGACCCTATGAGCGGTCGTGCATTTTGGGACCATTTTGGTTCATCTTGGGTGCCTTTTGGGACCATTTTGGTTCATTTTGTGTTCATTTTTGGGACCATTTTGGTTCACCTTGGGTTCATTTTGTGACCATTTTGGTTCATCTTGGTGCAGCCCTGGCTGGGCTCTTGTGCTGCTCAAGGTGCATCCCTTGAGGAGATCCTTTTAATAAATCTCAGCTTTATTCTTTAACTCTGCCCAGCCTCTGCTCTATCTCAGCCTTCCCAAGGCATCATTTCCACACCCAGCTGGGCTCCTGCCCATGCCATTAACCCAACCACACATTCCCAAAACCCCTCCAGCCATGGAAATGATGTGTGGAGAGCCAGCCAGCAATCCAAGAGAGGTGTGGGCAGAGAGATTCATCAGGAGCTGGGAGTGACTGGCTCTGGAAGAGGAGCAGAGCTGAGAATATAAATATTGGTGCAGATAATAACAGTGATGCCTGGGAGGGGGAAGATGGATCACCAGCTATTAGTGGGCATTATTGCAGCAGCTGCAATGCATCACCCGGGAAGAATGGGATGGATACATCATGCCAGTGTATTTATTTAAAATCCCCAAACTTTTATTGAATAAATCTGCTGGTATAAATAGAAAGGGCCGTATTTAAGCAGCCTGGTTTTGCAGGCAGATGTGCTCTGCTGCTCCCTGATATGTAATAGAGAGATGTTGAGTGTCACACTTGGAGCACAGCTTTACACCTAAATTTATTTGTGTGTAATTAATGCCCCTGTTGAAAGGCACAGCTCGTAAAATATGCGAGCGCTGTTTGATATTCCAGCATTTCACACTGTCCTGATCCTGTGGGATTGACTTCAGTGGGAGCTGTTAGCAGCCAGCACCTGTAGATCTAAGCACTGGAATTATTATTGTTAATTGGTATTTAATATGGGCTGAATTTTCAAAAGTATTCCGAGGCTGAGGAGCCCCTGGGAGGGGTGTGGAGGCTCAGATGATAATTAATTACTGAACAGCAGCACCTTTTGCACAAACTGGGCTCTACAGCTCTGGGATGCCTTTGAAGCCTGGGAATGCAGGGGCAGCTCCAAAGTGGTGGGGCTGGTCCTCAAAATGTGGTGTTTTGCTGCCTAATTTCTCCCTGCTGTAAATGTTGTAAATGTTGTTATTGTTGTTATCCCCTGCCCACCGAGCAGATTGTTTTGTGGTGGTCAGGAGAGCCTCCTGCTCCTCTGGGAAATGCTACATTAAAAATCACCCAGTTCCCCATCAGGGCAGGGTTTTGTGGGAGTTGCTCATCACTCAGAAATGGGATGCAGAGTGTTTAAACCTGGATGGAATGCTCATGGCTGGTCCTGGCATTGCTGTGGGTCCTGCACAGCCCAGGGTTGGCTCATCAGGGCTGGGATGCTTCTCTTACTGCTCAGAGACATTGGTTGAGTGTTTAATGTAATATCTGCTCCTGCTTGGAGTGGATCTGGGCTCATACAGCACTTTGCAGCCCTGGCTGGGGGATGGAGATGGTTTTTTGGCACAAAGGAGAAAAAGAAAAATCAAATCAAGAGCAAACACAGAGCCTTAAGCAGACCAAAATCTAACCTTAGAGTGAATTCTCTGAGCATGATACAAAATCACTGAGGCAAGATCTGTCCTGCTCCTGAAGAGGAGCTGAAGGGGAGATTATGGGTACCTTTGGGGCAGGTGGAGCTGGACCTGGTGGCTCTGGTGGCTCAGATGGTCCCTCTGGGTGCTTGGCTGGCAGATCCATCTCAGTGGGCCCATTAGTGCTGAGCAAAAGGCTCTGCAGGGGCAGAGCTGGCAGCCCGTGGTGCTGTGGGCATGGTGGGCACAGAGCCTGGCACAGGCACAGAGCCTGGCACGGGGCACAGAGCCATTCTTGGCTGTGATCCCTGCTCGTGTCCAGCAGCGTTCTGCCTTTTCCAGCCTCCAGCCAGCGGAAAGAAATGTGCAGCAGGCACTGATCCGGGAAAAACAGAGCAGGGCCTGAATTCCCACAGGATTTTCTTGCTTTCTCCTCCCTCCTTGGTGCTGCTGAAGTGCCAGTGAAATCCCCTGGGTGTTATCCCTGACTCTTTTTCCTTCTCCTTGCAGTGAACACGACCTGGGGGAGGACATCTACGACTGCGTGCCCTGCGAGGATGAGGGCGATGATATCTACGAGGATATCATCAGAGTGGAGGTGCAGCAGCCCATGGTAACAGCCCAGCTGTGTTCTCACAGCTGCACCTCGCTGGGAGGGGCAGGGAGGGGGCTCCAGGATGGAAATAACTCCCTGCCATTGGCAGGTGATGCTGCAGGGAAGGGAATTGCTCAGTCGCTCCTCCAAACTGGGATGGCACCAGCCCACAGGGGTTCTACAAGGAGTTTCCCAGCCCAGCCTGTCATCTGCAGGAGTTGGGGAGGAGGGAGGGGAAAGGGAGACCTAATAAGCCCTAAAAGAGAAGCTAAAAATAGGATTTTGCTGCTGCTGCTGCTGAGGCTGTGTCACTCCAGCCTGCTCTGTCAGCCAGAGGTGCCACTGGTATTTTTAGTGCAGGGTGACAGATCTGTGTGCCAGGGATCCAACAGCTGTCTGGGCCTGCTGCTCCTCCCTGGAGCAGGAAGATGTTTACAGTGAAGCTTTCTGGGGCAGCAGGGACCAGTGTGGCATTGGGGACAGCCCGTTTGTCACCTCTAACAAGCCTGAGTGTGAGGCATGGATAGCATCAGGGATATCTCCAAGGGCTCTGGAGCAAATATCGCACTCCATGGATGAGCCAAGGAGGTGTTGGTGGCCCTTGCACCTCCCCAAGGTGCCCACAGCCACCTCCTTACCTGTGACCTTCCAAATTTCCTCCCCTCCCTCCAATATCTGCCTCCCCCAGGCTTTGTTCAGCCAATAATTATTCTCCCCTTGTTCACCCCTCCCTGGAACAAAGCAGGATCAATGGGCAAATTCAGTGATCAGTTCAATCCCTGGAGGGGCTGGAGCCTGGGAATGCAGGGCTGCATCCGTGGATGTGCTCTGGTTCCTCAAAGATCACAAACCCCTCATTCCATGGTGTGCAGGAGCTCCCTGCACACCAAAACTCCTCTGGACCAATGAGTTGGGCCCAAAATATTCCTCTGATGCTGCCAAAGTGCTTGGATCTGAAGGCAGCACAGCTCCAGTGGTTTTTGCCACCAGTTGCAAAAGCCACTTGGCCCAAGAACTGCCCCAGGGGAAGGTTTTGCTAGGAATTTCTTGCATAAATGGGAAAAAATTGGGGAAAGCTCCAGCAGCCAGGTAATAAAGGATTAAGGTCAGTGGAATTGGCAATTTTTCACTGTCCTCTCCACATTATTTGATGTTTTCTGCTGAGCAGTTGAGAGCTGTGACTCCCTTTCACTACCCTGTGCAAAAGAGCCTATTTTTAATATAACTGCCCCAAAAATTGAACAGTTTTTGGGTAACATTTGTTGCAACAGCAAGTGTGTGACGCTAATGGCTTCTTGTATTTCTGCATGCTTCAGATTAGATACATGCAGGTAAGATGAATTGATTAAAATCTGGGGTTTCATGCAGCTGTGAGTCCTGAGGGGTGGACAGAGGGGCTCTGTTCTGTGCATGATCCACAAAACCCCAGCACTGAACTCCCTCCCAAATTCACATTCTGCCCTGCCAAGTGCAGCAGCTCCCAACACGTGGGCCCAGCTTTACAGAGCAGGAGTGACTCCAGGAGTTGGGGCTTTGGAAAAAGCACATTTTGTCAGATTTGACCTAAAATCAGGAGAATTGGCAACCCTGGCCAGGGATTTGTTTGAGTCTGATGTATTATTTGTGACCCACTTAGTATCTGTTATGAGTTTCATCTTAAGCAATAAAAAAAAAAAAAAATTAAAAAGGGGAAAAAAATCAGCTTTTATCTCTTATTATTCTTCTTTAGCTGATAGTCTTTGGTGGTGTGGCTGTAATAAATGCAAAAAATGCAGTTTTTCCATGTTGAAACATATTTAATAACACAGCCAGGGTTCCTCCTTATATTTTTTGGATAAAAATAGTTCCCTCTAGCATAAACCAGTAGTGGTTCTCTCCTGATTTTGCAAATTTGTGCTTGGTTGCTGTAACTGGAGCCCCACCAGGTTGCTGGACCACCCTTAGGACCATCTGACCATGAATTATTTTTCCTTCCCCTAGAAAATGGGAATGACAGAAGATGACAAAAGGAATTGCTGTTTGCTAGAAATCCAAGAAACTGAGGCCAAATACTACAAAACCCTTGAAGACATAGAAAAGGTGAGAGCTGAGCCCTGCAGCCCTGGATCACACATCAATTGTGCTGGGTTGGTTCTTGCTCCCAAAGCTGGGAGATGTGAGGGGCAGGATGGAGGAAAATGGGAGAGGAGGGGAATCCACAAAATCTTAACAAGCAGAAACGTGCAGGAGGCAAAACCAGCATCTTTTATTGTGATTGCTGCAGATCAGAACCAGGCTGAAAACCTTCCTGCTGTGTCCCCCCATCCTGGGGTGAGAATCTCCCACTCCTGGCTCAGCCAGGCCGGGTTTGCTGATAAGAGCTGTGTTTGCAGATATCTCTTATCACTCTGATTGCCACGGAATAATTCCTTTATTCCGAGTGCTGAGGCTGTGTTGGCTTGCCATTGAAGCTAATTGGATTAAAAGGAACGTTCTGCTGCCTAAATTTGTGGGGGTTTAATTGGTTTTGATGAATTATTGTGGCTCCTTTTCTTTTAAAAACAAATGGAAGGGAACACCTCAGCAGTGGATGAAGCCTGGAGGTGGTTCCTGCTCCCAGGAAAGCAGCAGGAAGGAAGAACAATAATGAAAATCAAGCTGCCATTTCTAATCACCCTGATGCTTTTGTTTCCTCCCTTTCTGCCTTTCTTTCCCTCTGTCTGTCTGCTGAAAGTTCCCCCGAAGAGCAAAACTGGAAAAAAATGGAAGAACATTTCCCATTTTCCAGGAAAATGCCCCAATATATTTGTCATTTATGTTTCCAAGGAATCCTTCTTCCTTGGAAACAGCCACAGCCGTCTGGTTCAGGAGAATGAAGAGTTAAATTATTGCTTTCATATCAATTAAAGCTTGCAAAGGCTTTGCAGGTCCTGGTGGTGTCATGGGTGGAATTTCCCCTCCTGGGTTGTTATATTTGGGGTTTTTTGCAGCTCCAAGTCACAACAGAACAGTAGATGTTGCTATTAATATGTATTTGTTCAGAAAGGCATTGCCCATGTAATCACATCATTGCTGCCTTCCCAAGGGCAGAATTCCAGGGAGATAAAGGGCTGTGGAGATGCTTCAGTGCAGCCAAGGGCTGCAGAGTGCATTTCACCCTCCCTGCTGCAGCTTTAGCAGGGGAGGGGGCTGTGGGCACCCATGGGTGGGGGTCTGGCACTTTCCTACCCTTGGAAATGCTGTGGGAGCTCAGGGAGGGTGCACTCATGGAATTCCTGCATCCATTCCCATCCCTGCTCATCCTCTGCCTTTGCAAGTGCTTAAACTCATCAAAACCTGCCCAGGTGAGCTCAGCTGGTTAAGCAGAAATTAAAATAAATAAATAAAACCAAATAAATAAATAAATAAATAAAATAAAAATAAATCCCTTGCACAACCTCGTTCCCTGCTCTCCAGCACCTCAACCCCTTCTCCATTTCTCTCTTGCAGAACTACATGAACCCCCTGAGGCTGGTACTGACTCCCCAAGACATGGAAGCTATTTTTATCAATTTGGAGGTAACACCATGGGCATTGTGCCTCAGATCTTTGTTCTTTTCATGGCAGCTCAGCCCTCTCCCTGCTTAGGAGGAGGTTTTCTGATTTCCTGTTAGATTTGTGCATTCACTTGGAGAGCTCCAGCCTTTCGTGTGCTGTGGAGCTTAAAGTGCTTTGGGAGACAATCTTTAACACTCAGTTTTAGAGGTGGGGAATATTTGAACTCTAGGAAATAAAACAATTCAATCTAGTGGGTGTTTCAGGGCTGGGGCTCTGGATTTTAGCTGGTTTGGGCACAAGGTGATGAAGGAATTTATTTCTGCTGTGGTTTGCTCAAGGTATAGGTCAAAACCTCATCTCCTCCACTCCTTCCATCCCAAATCCTCCTCCCTCCCCACCCTGGGGTATTTCTCAAAACCTCATCTCCTCCATTTCTTCCATCCCAAATCCTCCTCCCTCCCCTCCCTGGGACATTTCTCCCTGCTGGAATAACACCCCTGTCCTCCAGGCCCCTCACTAGAACAACTTTCTTTACAAACACCTGAAAGTGGGAAAACCCTGCCCAGTGGAGGAGGGAATGTGCATTTCTCTGGGCTCTGTTTGCCCACCTGCTTTGAATGTGTGTAAAGTGTTGGCTGTTGCTTGGTTTTAGGACCTCATTAAAGTGCACTTCAGTTTCCTGAGAGCCATCGATGTCTCGATGATGTCTGGAGGAAGCAGCCTGGCAAAAGTGTTCCTGGAGTTCAAAGAGAGGTAAAGGAATTCCAGGCTTCAGGCAGCTCCAGTTCTAACAGATTTGGGTTATTTTTGGAGATTTAAACAGAGTTCTTGTTGCTCTCTGCCTTCTCACTCTCTTCTACTGCCTGAAAGGAGGTTGGAGCCAGGTTGGGATCTGTCTTTTCTTCCAGGTGACAACAAGACAAGAAGAAATAGCCTCAAGTTCCACCAGGGGAGGTTTTGAATGGATATTAGTGAAAATTTCTTCACTGTGAGGGTTGTCAAGCCCAGGATGGTGGTGGGGTCACAATCCCTGGAAGTATCCAAAAACTGTGTGGCTGTGGTGCTTAGGGTCATGGTTTAGTGGCATTGCTGGGGTAATGGTTGGACTCAGAGGTCTTTTTCCACCTAAATAATTCTGTAATTCCAGAGATGCCTTTCACAGCAGCCCAGGTTTGCATCCTCCATAGCAAACTGCTTTCAGGCAGCTGAAACATCACTGAGAGCTGACATTGAGCAGCAAAACTCAGCCACAGGTTCAGATCACCCAGGGCAGAGGCTGGGACACCTCCCCTGTGACCACCAGGCTCCCTTGGATCCCTGCTCCTGCAAACCCCTGGATTTTCCTTGAGCTCAGCATCCCCTAGGAGAGTGAATACCCAATGTGATTGTGGGGACAAAGATGAGCTGGAATGGAGCAAAACCTCCAGGGGTTTTGTGTGTTCTCTGCAAGGGCTGTGATGTCGTGGGGTGACTCCTGTGCAGGGGAGATCAGCCCTGCTCTGATCAAAGTGATTCCTCACCCTCAAAGAATCTCATATTTGGCACAGAGCTCATCCTGCACCTTCTGCACAATGAATACATGTAGGAGTTTCTTTCACAAACAGAATCAATCCTGGCTTTTGGCAGCTGCAAGCAGGAGCACCCCAGCACGCAGAGATAAGGTTGATAAAAGCCTTTAATATCCTTAATACTAATCAAAGGGTGATTCATTATGGAACAGTGCCAGGCTGTTATTTCACTGTGATTAAACCAGTGTCTAGACACAGAAATGCCATTCAGAAGTCAATAACTCCAGAAATACCATCTACATTAATAACACGCTGTGAGGTCACATCTTCCATCATTCTGGGGGCCTCTCCTTATAAAGGGCTTTTTTTTTTCTGGCTTAAATTACAAAAATATTCCAAAGAGGAATGCAAATAATTTCAAAACACTCACAAAACTCACTTAGGTGATTTTGATCTCCTGATTCCTGGCTCAGCCTCATGCATGCAGTGCCATCCCTGGGGCAGGGCTGTGGGCACAGGGAGCAGGGAGGTGACACAGGAGGGGTTCTGGAGGTGACACTGCTGCCCAGGGAGGAGCACAAGGCTGGGTTTTGAGCCATTAAATCAATGTTTTCTCCTGTTAACATGCTGGTGGGAGCTGGGAGAATGCTTGGAGCTGGTGAGTTCCATGCAGATGGGTGAAGCAGCTGAACCCCTTCCTAAGGGAGCTGGCAAACAACTTCCTGAAGGACCTGAAAGCTTTGGAAAGAGTTGAGGGAAGGAGAAAAAGCAGCTGTGAGGTGGTGATGGTGGATCTGAAGCTCTCCTCAGTCCATGGGGACTCTGGGGACATCAGTGCTGTGAGAAACTGCTGCTCAAGGGGGGCTTGCCTTGGAGAAGTCCCTAAAATCAGATTGTTGGGGATAAGGAGTTTGGAGCAAGCTGATGTAAACAGGCAGAGTCCTTTCCTCCATCAGGAAAGTCAGGAATAACACATTTTACAGCAAGAAAATTTCACTCCAGGAGGAGAAGGTGAACTCATTGGGGAGACAGTTTTGCCCCACCAAGAAGGGAACATGGACCTCCAGAGTCCCGTCTTGGTCCCTGAATATGAGACCTTCCTCCATCAGATCTACCCATGACAAATAACTCCTCCACACCCTTTGAGACATTCTGGCAAGATGATGCATCACCCCTTGGCTTTGCAGGGGCCTTTTTTAAGGAAATAGTTTGTAAATCTCTTCCTGTGGAAGCCACAGGTTTGAATTTATGCTCCTGAAGCTTTTTTGAAGCTCTCCCCATGCTGGCAAGGTGGATATTATTGTGCCTGTGCAGAAATTGTCAGGGGTAAAAGGTGGAAGAATAATCTTTAGTGGCTGTGGCTCCATAAATCTCTTTATTCTCTTCCCTGCAGGGTGTGAATGTCCCATGTTTATGGAGCACCTGGGTCAGTGGTTCCCAGGTCATCTCCATCGAGAGATGGAGCCCCCAGATAATGGATGAGGTGCAGGTTGTGATGGAAGATGTGTCTTAGCAGCAGCAGCACAGTTAACAGCCAGAAAGGGGGAGAAAACCCAACCCTGTCAGGCAGGATTAATGAGGGAAAAGGGGGAATCCATGACAAAACTGCTCTTTTTTGTCAGGGTTTAAATTTATAGCCCATGCAGAGCTTCACTGTGTTTCCAAGGGCTGTGACAACATTCTTTTCCCAATTACCCAGGCTCTTGATCTCTAGGTCCCTGTGGCTCTCTCAAGAAGATGTGACTCTAAAATGTGACGTGGAACCATCATAGAATCACTGAATGGTTTTGGGTTGGAAGGGAGCTTAAAATTCATCTCATTCCACCCCCTGCCATGGGCAGGGACACCTTCCAACAGCTCAGGTTGCTCCAAGCCCCATCCAGCCTGGCCTTGGATAATTCCACAAACTCTCTGGGCAACTTTTGACAGTTCCTCACCACTCTCACAAGGAAGAATTTCATCCCCCTATCTCATCTACCCCTCCAAAACCAGGCTCCTCTGCTCTGGCCACCCAGCCCCTTCTGTTCATCATGAGCTGCATCACCTCCATAGGCTCTAGAAGCCTCCAAATGTTCAAACGTTGAAAATCTAAATGTCAAAAAGCCACACAGTAAAAGAGTGTTTATCTTTTGCTAAGCAGTGAAAAGGGGGAATAGCTGTTTGCCTCACCTTTTGCTGTACACACATTTATATATCTTTTATAACAGCTTATAACTGCCAGCATTTCCAGTTAAACCTGTGATTTTCCTCCCCTCCAGGCTGCTGATTTATGGCAAGTACTGCAGCCACATGGAATATGCCCAGAACACCCTGAACCACCTCCTTGCCAACCGGGAGGACGTCAGGCAGAAGGTGGAGGTGAGCAGGGGGCTGAGGGCTGTCCCCAGCCCTGTCACAGCTTTGGGAAGGACCTGCTGGAGCTGAGCACGGTGCTTGGGGAATGTTTGATTGACCAAAAGAGAAGAAGGGTGTCAGAGTGTGTTTGTGCTGCCACAGAGGGGGCAAAGCTGGGGGTTGTGCTGTCCTGACCCCTCGTTTTTCCCTTTTCTCCTCACCAGACCCTCACTCTGTCCTTCCTCCCAACAAAGCACCCTGCATCCAACTGCTCTCTGGGAATGAAAATTAATAACAAGAGGTTTATTTTAAAAAGCAATTTTTATGGATTTGGAGGTGTGATTAAATTTTGAAATTCTGGAAGGTCGGGGCAGTGTGTGTGGCCTGTCTGTCACACTGAGCTGGTGGCACTGGCTCTGCTCTGTCCTTCTGCAACACTGCCACGAGGACAAATCTGCTCCTGGGACACTCCACACCCTCATTTGGGGGAAATGGATTTGTAGAGTGTTCTCAAAGCCTGACAGAAAGCTCACATCTGTTTGGAGACTTTGAGATGAGAAATGCTGACTTAGAAATGCCCTGGAATGGGACAGACATTGCTGAGAGAGGAATGGAACCAGAAAAAAAGTTTCAAAGGGTGGCCTTGCAAATAAAACTGGATACTTTGGAGAAATAGAACTGTGAAAGATGCACTGGAGTGGGACCCACCAGGGGTAATTTCAGATAATTGTCTTTTAAGGCATTTACAGCATGGTGTGGCTAAAGCTGATAGGCCAAGAAACACTTATAATGTATTTAACACTTAAAATGTATTATAATGTAGTTAGGAAATAGTTGGTAACAAGAGTAGTAACAGTAATTATGAATTTACTTTGTGGATATAAGGTAGTTACACTCCACAAGTGTATCCAAGTTAAAACAAACCAGTGACTTTATTTGAGTGGGACTGGTTGTGAGTTGTGCAAAGAACAACTGAGCATCCCCAAAGCGGGAGCCACGTGGTTTTCCAGCATTTGGGACCATCAGAGGCAAACCCAAATCCCCAGGCAAACACCAGAATTCCTGCCCTGGCCCCCTCAGTCGGATGCAGACATGAAGGGAATCAAAGGAGCCCCAGAAGGGCTGCATTGTTTGAGCTGCTGTTTTTACCCAGCTCTGATTCCTGCTTTGCTCTTGATGCTAATCAGAATTTGCCAGGCTGTCTGTGCACGTTACCTCACCTTCTGCAAACGTGCCTTGATTCCCTGTGTGAACACAATCCAGGGGTAAAACTGCAGTTGGGAATTGTGTAAAATGTGCTCTCTGTGTCTCACACCAAGGCTGGAGCATCCTTTACTCCCCGATTTTGCTGTGTTTCCCTCCTTTGTGGCAGCTCTGTTAAGTCAGGTGAAAATGGGTCTGGGCAAAGGTAACCGTGACAAAACTTCCTGCAACCACAATTAGCTCATCTTAATGAGTTAATGGTCATCAGTGACTGCAGAGGCACAGGCTGCATGCTCAGTGCCAGCCCCTCACAGATCAGCTTGGCCCAGTGAGGAGTGGCTGAGGCAGATGGGTTTCATTTGACATTTCCCCAGGTCTGAGAGCATTCATGCAGTGCCCTAATGAGCAGCATCTCATTAGGCTGGAGTGGCTCATTTGCATGGCAGTGGATGGAATTGAGGGTCCAGCCCTTGGAATTAATCCCTTGATGACCTCTGTGATGGGAGCCCAGCCCTGGCTGGGTGGCTGCAAGGACCACAAGGTCTGTGGGCATCAGAACTGAGCTTACAGGAGCCAAACAAACATTCTCAAGACTTCAGAGACTTCTTTTAGTTGTTTTCTCACTGCTGATTTATTGATCTCCTTCCTAGGAATGCACACTAAAGGTCCAGGATGGGAAATTCAAATTGCAAGACCTGCTGGTGGTTCCAATGCAGAGAGTTTTGAAGTATCACCTCCTGTTAAAAGTAAGTTTTTCAGCACTGGCACTTCTCTCTCTGCTGTAGCATCTTTCACCCCTGTCAGTGGAGGGTGAATCATTGCCAAATGCAGAGCAAGGGTTGGGATCTTTATACCCCTTCAAATAAAATAATTACTAGAGCTACTTAACACAACATAATATTTGTGCTGTCTCCTAAAGTACAATGACTCAGGGTAATTCTGCACTTGCTACCCACGAGAGGCACTTAATGAATATAAAATAAGCTTGCATATAATCTGATTATGTGTGAAATTCCTCCAGTCAGCTCCATGTAACAGATCTCTCAAGCACCAGCCCTTGGTGTGTTCCTTGTCCTGCAGCCACAGCTGCTTGCCTGGGCATCCCTGCATCCCTGGCACCTCCCTGGCATCCCTGCTGTTACCCAGGCACCCCTGGCATCCCTTCAGTCACCCTTGGAATTCCTGCAGCCACCCTTGACATCCCTGTCACCACCCTGCCAACACTCAGGCAAACCCCGTCCAGTGCAAGCAGGGTCTGGGTGCCTTTCCTAGCACATCCAAACTCTTTATTTTTATTGATTTATATTTACTTTTATTATTTAATTTTTATTAATTTATATATTTTTACTTAATATTTTATTGTTTATTTTTATTATTTTATTTTTATTATTATTATTTTAATATTATATTTTATATAATATTATAATATATTATATTTTAATATATTTTATTTTTGTTTTATTTTTATTTATTATTATAGATTTTTATATCTTTTTAATATTATTTTTATTATTTTTATTATTATATTATTTTTATTATTTTTTGAGGTTTATTATTTTTTATGATTTATTTTTATTATTTTATTTTTATTTCAGGAGCTGCTCAGCCATTCCTCAGACAGGCCAGAGAAGCAGCAGCTGAAGGAGGCTCTGGAGGCAATGCAGGTACAGGAGGGTGAGAGTGGGGAGGGGGCTGTGCTGGCTCTGGGCTGCAGCAGAGCTCAGCATCCTTCTGCTCTGTGGGACAAAAATTTGGATGGAAAATCCATCCAGGAACAGCTGAAGGGAAGGCAAGGTCTGCTCCTTCTGGCCACACCTGTGTGCACTGGCTGTCACTTGGTGTGGTGGCCTCCCAGCAGATCCCCAGGGCAGAGGGGGGAGCTGGGGTTTGTTGCCAAGCCAGGACTTTTCCCTGGTTGCTGCTGTGTGTGCAGAGGCTGTGCCAGATCCGGCTTTTGTTTCTGCTGGGAGGGATTTGGAGGAGCTCCAGAGGAATCAGCGAGTCAGGGAGTGTGGCAGCCACAGGAGCCTTCCCTGGGTGCTGGCAGCCAGGTGCTGGGTGGGAATCCTTCATCCACCTTTTTTTTAAATTTTATTTTATTAAAGGGAAGATGTGTTTTCAACAATTGACGACTTTTGGCATCAGCACTTTGCTTCAAGTTGGTTTTTTTTCAGCTTTTAGCTGATGTGATGGTGTTCACAGGGGTCTTAGGATGAGGGAAGAGATGAGAATGTTGACTCCATGTTTCAGAATGCTTGATTTATTATTTTATGATATACATTACATTAAAACTATACTAAAAGAATAGAAGAAAAGGTCTCATCAGAAGGCTGGCTAAGATAACAGAAAGAATGATAACAAAGGTTTGTGGCTCGGCTCTCTGTCCGAGCCAGCTGGGCTGTGATTGGCCATTAATTAGAAACATCCACATGAGACCAATCACAGATGCACCTGTTGCATTCCACAGCAGCAGATAATCAATGTTTCCATTTTGTTCCTGAGGCCTTCTCAGGAGGAAAAATCCTAAGGAAAGGATTTTTCATAAAAAGATGTCTGCAACAAGCTGGAGCCCCCAAAATCTCAGAACAAAAAAATATCAGCAACAAAACAAAAATGAAAATGTAGAATGATTCAAACGTTTTCTGGCTGGGTTATGTCTCCCCACACACACACTCACAGCAGATCCATTGTCAGCAGGAGCTCTGGGGAGCACCTCAGGGTCCATCCCTGTGCTCGTGGTCACTTTGTTTTCCACCCCTGGGCTGCAGCTTTTGTAACAGGGCTGCATTTCCTGGCCCTTACATAAGCTGGGTGACCTTTCCAGCCATTCTGCTGCCAGCCCAGGGATGCAGGGCTGCTCTGGGGCTCTCTGTGCAGCTGAGGTGCTTTCAAGGACGTTGCATTCCCAGCCCACTGCCGTGGCCTCAGATGAACGCTGGGCCTGGTGACAGCAGCTAAACCCCACTCGTGGCCTCATCACCCAGCAGCACTGCTGAAAAATAAATGTGTGTTTGCTCTGGCTCTGCTGCACACTCAGCATTTGCTGCAGGAAGATGTTGATAAGCATCAGGGAGGTTTCTCTCTCCTCCTCCCCATAACCAGGAGAGTGTGGGAGCAGTTCCGACCGCGCTGGGCTCAGGGGGTTTGGGAGCCATTCAGTTTGGTTTTAATTGATCTGTAAACCAAGGCTTAACTTCCAAATGATGTCTTTCATCACAAGTCCAGCCTTTCTGTCTGCTGGGCAGGCAGCAGACATTGCTGCTGTCTGGGGTGGATGCAGTCACATTCCCAAAGGGATTCAGCTCCCTTTTATTTTGCTGGAATAGTTGGTTCTGCAAGAAAAGGGCACCAAAAAAAAAATTAATTTGTGGTGGGGTTTCTTTGGTACCAATCCTCTGCCTTGAGAATGCAGGACTGAGTTCCCAGTGGTGGTGGGGGAGAGGCAGCTCTCAGTGAAATTCCAGAGCCAACATTTGCAGGTTGTTGTTTCAAGTCCTGCTTGATGCTGGGATTGTGTTTCCCTGCTTCAGAACCCTTTTGGTTGTGTCATTTCTCATCACCATCCCTGCCAGCCCTTGGCCTGGTGATGTTACAAGTATTGTCACGTAGATCTGTGATTATGGGATGTGATTAACCCTCCTTGTGTTGGGGAGCTGAGCCAGGTCTGACCCAGGGGGGATGTCTTAAAAAATCCCCTGCTCAGATTTAATCCAAGCTGACAAGAGCTGTTGTTGAGGTCAAGGAGGGAGCAGATAAGAGGCAAACAGGCACAGCAAATCCACTCTGAAAGGTGCAAGAAGTTGTTCCAGTGGAAGGGATGCTTCCTTCTCTTTGATGGATGAAAATTTGGGGTTTGGGGTCGCTGTGCTGCCATGGATTCCTGCATTGCCATGGATTCATGCATTGCCATCTTCTGGGAAATGGAAAACATTGCAGCACCTGCCTGCCTCTGTCCCAGGCTGCAGTGGGGTCCTGCTCAGACTCCTGAGGGATTCAGGGAGCCAGGCTCATGTTTGTTCTCCTGGGTAAAGTAAAAATCAGTATTCACCCTTTTTTTTTGTAAAGGACTTGGCCATGTACATCAATGAAGTCAAGAGGGACAAAGAGACTTTGAAGAAAATAAGTGAATTTCAGAGCTCTATAGAAAACCTGGTAAGTTGGAAAACCCTCTTGAACTCAGTTGGGTTTAAGAACCCTTTTGAATCCAGTTTAATTTTTTTATCATTAATTAATTTTTTTTTTATTATTATTATTATTATTATTATTATGCATTTGGGTTTTGTGAGCAATTACTACTTGTTCTGATGTGCTGAAGGATCCCCATGTGTTCAGACTCTCTCATGATTTGCTGATGGTCCAGAAGTGGATTCTCTATCCAGCTTTGGCTGGGTTGGAGGCTGGCTTCTCTTGCTGGTGTTACACTAAAAATGTTTCTTCAGCTTTTTCTCACATTATCAGTGTAGGGAGGACACAGAAGTTCCTCAAACTGCCTATCTGGATTTATTTAAAAAGAGGTTTTCTGGCTTTATTTAAAAAGAGGTTTTCGTTTGATTTTAAGAGGGCAGAGGTTAACTGAAAGGGGAGGAGAAGGGCTCATGTAAAGAGGCACCGAATCCCCAAAAATTTCAACCAGGTATTTTAAGGAGAACTCATCCTCCAAACTGCAGAGGTGTCAAACACTCAGCCCTGTTGCTGTGCCTCAGCAGACCTGGAGGGGAGCTGGGTTTGGGGGCTTTAAGCCTTGGCTTCATTTGGAAACAATGAAATTTTAATTGATGGCTATTTAACAGAGACAAAATCCTAAATTATTATGGAAACCTCTGAAAAATAGCTTATTGCAGGTGGGGAGGAGTTTGTAAAAATGCTTTGAGTGCTGGGCCTTGCCCTGGGTGCCAGTGCTGGAGCTCTGGGGGTTCCTGGGGTGCTGAGCTCATGGCTAGGCTCCCCTTGCAGCATCCTCCCTCCTCTGGCTGGGGGTGCTGCTGCTCCCAGGGGCTTGGGCAGGGCTGGGGGGTGAATCCAGCCAGCTCTGGGCTCCCACCTGCCCAGGGCAGCGTTCCAGGCTCTGAGCCCTGCTTTGCTCCTGCAGCAGGTGAAGCTGGAGGAGTTTGGGAGGCCGAAGATCGACGGGGAGCTCAAGGTGCGCTCCATAGTGAACCACACCAAGCAGGACAGGTGAGTGAGTGCCCCTGTCCCCAATGTCCCCAAACATGCCCTCATCTAATGACTCCCCTTGAGCTCATTTCTTTTATTACTGCCTGGAATTTCACTGCCATAACCCAGCATCAGTGTGAAATCACAGCAGGACACAAACACTGAACGCTGAGCTGGGGAGCTCCTCAGAACTTTACAAATCTTTCCCCTTGGATTTTTTAATGATGTGTTTGACTGGCTTGCTGGTTTATTTGCTTGCTTTGGGCAGGTATTTATTTTTATTTGATAAAGTGGTGATCGTCTGCAAGAGGAAAGGATACAATTACGAGCTGAAGGAAATTATTGAGCTGCTCTTCCACAAGATGACTGATGACCCCATGAATAACAAGGACATTAAGAAGGTAGGTGGACTAAGGATTAGCTCTGGAGACCATTTTGGAACTGTTTCAGGGTAGTATGTTCCCATTAGCCTTTTAAAATAGGAAAAAAAGCTGGAAAATAAATGCTCAACTTTCAAGGCAGCCTTAAATAGCGTTGGGAAATGTTTATTAATGTGGGGCTGGGCTGGATCCTTGACCTGTGTCCTGGCAGAACAGCCCTGAGGAGGCTGGGGTGGTTGGAGTTAGGAGGGAGGAAGCTGCTCTCTGCTTTCTGGCCCAGTGTCAGGGAGCAAACATCAGATGGGCAGGAGAGGAGGGCAGGGAGGAGGGAGGGAAGGTCCAGGATGTTCTTTCTCCCACAAGCTGCAGGGTGGAGGAGCCTGGAAAGGCAGCTCTGCACACCAGGCTGCCAAAATTGGCACTCAAAGCACTGAAGGAACATCATTTCCCTGTGCTTTGATGCTCACTCTGCAGCCATGGAGGAAAAACCTCCCAGTTTTTGCTTTGAGTGAGCCCCTTTAGCTGAATCCACTCCCATGCCGTGGGGAGAGCAGGTGGGATAAGGGACACTGGGGGTGAGAACAGCCAAGAGCTGCTGAGGGAGTGCTGCTGGCTTTGTGTTTTAATGAAATCTCTCTCCACTTTGCTCTCCTGGCTTTGTGTTTTAATGAAATCTCTCTCCACTTTGCTCTCCTATGCTTTCTAGTCCCATGGAAAAATGGTAAGCAGAGCACCCCTGTGGCTGTGGTGTGTTTGTGTGAGACAGGCTGAGCATATGTGCACTGGGCAGCTCAGATGCTCCTCCTGGGCTGTCACTTGCTGTCAGCCCCAGACAGAGTGGCTGGGGAGGATCCAGTGGAGCAGAAGAATCTGGGTTTTCTCTCATCTGCCACCATGAAATGCTGCCTGCTCCAAGTGCACAGCACCCAAAGCGCTGCAGGCGTCATTAACTGGGATGTGTTAGAGAAACAGGGAGCTCTGCTTCCTCCTCCTGCTGTCCCTGGCCATGGCTCAGCTCAGGGGGCAGGGACAGGCACTCAGGGCAGTGCCTGAGCTGTGTGAGTGGAGCTGTGGAGTGTTCTGCTGGGAGATCAGCTCTCTTTCCTCTTGCAGTGGTCCTACGGCTTCTACCTGATCCACCTGCAGGGGAAACAGGGCTTCCAGTTCTTCTGCAAGACTGAGGAGATGAAGAGGAAGTGGATGGAGCAGTTTGAAATGGCCATGTGAGCATGGGTGGCTGCTCTAGCCCTGGGTGCAGTAGCCAGGAGTGGGAGAAAAGTGTTTTGGGCCTTCAGGGCACTGCAGAGCAGCTCTGGCTGGGGAAGCTCATGAAGGCTGGATAGAGCTTGGAACTGTTCTCTGAGCATACCCAGCAAAGCATCTCTGACATTGAGATGGGATATTGGGTAGGAATCCTTCCCAATTCCTTCCTTCCCTTCCCCAAAGGGTGGGCAGGCCCTGGCACAGGTGCCCAGAGCAGCTGTGGGTGCCCCTGGATCCCTGGCAGTGCCCAAGGCCAGGTTGGACAGGGCTTGGAGTGACCTGGGATAATGGAATGGGATGGGATGATTTTAAATGTCCAACCCAGAGGTTTCTGTGGGTCTCTGGAAGGACACCAGACCCTGGAGCAGGAGCAGGGTGAGGAGGGAGGGTGGTGCTGCAGGACCTGGTCCTGAGCACAGCAGGGCTTGGGCTGATGGTTAACTCAAACAAAACCCATGACTCCTGTTCCGGGGGAAGGTAATGGGTAAAATCCTCTCTCCACAACCAAGCCCTGATCCCCTCCCACACTGGATTTGATGTCTGTATGGTGTCCAGGCTGTGACTGCAATGCCACAGGCTGATAACCCCCAGCTCCTTTCCCTCAGGTCCAACATCAAGCCAGAGAAAGCCAATGCAAATCACCACAACTTCCAGATGTACACATTCGAAAAGACAACCAACTGCAAAGCCTGCAGGATGTTCCTGAGGTGAGCAACAACCTTCTGCAGTAAAACACAGAAACAAAAATCTCAAAGCTGAGGCTGGATTAGGATTTTCTGACTTCTTAAATTTTTTTTTTTTTTTGTGGCACAGAGGAACTTTCTACCAGGGCTATCTTTGCCCCAAATGTGGAGCAGGTGCTCACAAGGAGTGCTTGGAGATTATTCCTCCCTGCAAGATGGGTGAGTAATTTGATGAGCAGTTTATTGAATGATCTGAGAAATTCACTTTATCAAGCAATGATGTTTGTTAATGCATAAAAGAATACAAGGATGCTCCCACCCCACCTGCCAGGGCTGTAATTCACATTGGTTTGTGGTTTAAAATACAAACAAAGCAGCCAAAATTCTCCAAAACAAAAGAGTTCATCCCATGGATGGCAGGGCATCCCAGCAGCTCTGTGCAGGGCGGGATCTCCAGCTCTTGTGGGTGGGAATTGAAGAGAGAAGTTCTTTACCAGCTGATGAAGATGAACTGATGAAGCTCATCTTGATCAGTTCTTCATCATTTACCAGTGAAAGCAGGAGGGTCTGCAGCAGGGAGAACATTTCTGATGGACAGAGAGCTCCTCTCTGGACCCCAAATGTCCCAAAGTACAGCGGAAATTTGTGTCCTTGGTCTGAACTGGGCCAAGCTGGGACTCCCTGTGCCCACCCAGGGCAGAACCCTGGTGATGCTGCAGGGGGCTCACATGGGGGCTTTGGGAAGATTTTGGGTGAGGAATGGAGGGAGGAACAGAACTGCAGGACTTGGTGGCAGTGAGGGGATGGCCCTGTGTGGCTCAGTCTCCCCAGAGCAGAGCAGTGACCCAAGTGTCCCCAGCTCTGCTTTGGCCTTCAGCTTCAGCTTCACCCCCTGGTGCTGCTCTGTGACACCCAGAGCATCAGGAGAAGCAGAAAATGGGGTTTGTTCCTGTGAAATTAACCCCTTACCCTCCATTTCTCTTGCAGGTTCTTCAGCAGACCAGGTACGTGATTTGGCCTTTCCTCACCCCGGTGTCCTTGTCCAGCTCATGGAAGAGCCAGCCCTGGCCTCAGAGGGGTCTCACCTGGGGGACAGGGCTGGGGCAACTGGGACAGGACTGGGAGCAGTGGGACAGGACTGGGACCACTGGGACAGGACTGGGAGCAGTGGGACAGGACTGGGACCACTGGGACAGGACTGGGAGCAGTGGCCTCCTCTCCAGCCTAGAACTGGCCCAGTTTAAGCAGCCCCAGAGCCCTCAGGAGGTGCCAGCACCCAGCTGGGGTGAGCACCGTGGGCTGGCAGGTACCAGGGAGATTTGGGGTGGATTTTTCTCATCCCAATGGCATCAGGTGGGTGCTGGTGGGGAGAGCTGAGGCTGATGTGTCCTCACTGAGTTTTTTTCCTCTTTCTTTGCAGGATTCACTGGGTGCAGGACCTGGTAAGGCCATTGCTGTGGGACAGAGGGCAGGGACAGGTTGTGGCTGCAGGAATCCCCAACATTGGGTGTGTGTGGGAGGGGGAGGCTCCTTCCAAAGCCAGCAAAGACCTTTAGTGCCTGCAGAGGGTCCTGTGCCCCTCATGGCCAGCCATGGGGCACTGGGGTCTCTCTGTCCCTGCTGCCCCACAATTTCTTTGGTGCCCTCGTGCCCCTGGGCCAGCAAAGCTGCTGCCCATCACACCCAGGAGAGCCTGGCACAACATCCTGGTGCCAAACCAACCTCCAGGGCAGAGCAGGCATGTTCTGGCAGGGAGATTTGATGGGCAGCATCTTCCTGCTGGCACATCCAGTGTGCCCTGATGGGCCATCAGTCACAAAGGTTCCTGCAAGAACTTTTTATCTTCCTGTGTTTAAAACTTGCCTGGACAGAGCTCTGGGCCTGCCCTGCCCCTGCTGTGGCTCAAAGGAGAAGAACAATTTGTTTTTGTGCTGTTTCTGATGGAAGGAACGCCAAGCCTGGCAAAAAGAAACCTGAATCAAATTTGTGGTTAGGAGAAAAAAAAACCAACAAAAGCCAACAAAACAAGCACAGAGTGCTCTTGCTGGGAGGGGAGAGACAGAGGTGGGGAGGCATTTTGAGGATAAACACTGTGGGTTTGGTGCAGTGGGGGAGGTTTATTTAATGTGCAGTTGTTGGCGAGACAAGTGGACTTTGCCTGGGAGCTTCAGGGGCGTTCTGAGTCCCAGGTCCAGCTGATTTTCAGGGCTAGCTGAGTGTTCACTGCTCCCTTTTGCAATTGTGGGGTCACTGCTGGCCAGTCATTGCCTGGCAAGGGCTCCTCTCCTTGATTTCCCTCTCCTCTGCTGGATTTGAGCTCCTTGGTGAGGCTCAGATCCAGGTGCAGGGCTGGGAGCTGGAGCTGCAGCTTGGCTGGGTCCCCCCTGGGTTTGTTTTTGCACAGGGAACTCAATCATGCATGTGACTGCAGGAGCCAAGAACACTCACTGTGGACACCATTCCTTTCTGCTTTCATGTTTCCTGCCCCTCAATCTTGCCTGCTGTGCCCTGTCAGGGATGGGGAGAGCAGTTCAGGAGGGGGGGTTCTCTTTGGGTTCTTTTCAGCTGGGACAAGGTTGTGAAACTGTTGTGCTTCTCTGCCAGGTCCTAAAATGGTGGCTGTTCAGAATTACCATGGGAACCCAGCCCCTCCTGGGAAGCCAGTGCTGACCTTTCAGATTGGGGACGTGATGGAGCTGCTGAGGGGGGACCCCGACTCGCCATGGTGGGAGGTGAGGGCGAAACTCCTAAACCAGTGATTTCCACATTATCCCTTTGATTCTGGGGCTTTCCTGTTGCAGGGGTGTGCTGGGGTTGGGAGGCAGTTTGGGGCCTGTCCCCAGCCTGATGCCCAGCTTGGCCTTGCAGGGGAGGCTGCTGCAGACCAAGAAGTCGGGTTATTTCCCCAGCTCCTCAGTGAAGCCCTGCCCCGTGGATGCCAGGGTAAGTGCCAGACAGGGATGGAGCTGGCACTGCCAGCTGGGTGGGATTGTCCCTGTCTCTCTTCTCAGCCTTCTCCTCAAGGCCTCAGCCCTTCCCTGGGCCTTCAGCGAGGCCTGTGCCTCACAGTGGAGGTGGATCCCTCCTGCCATGGTGCAGCCCTGTTCCCAAGGCTGGGCTTGGCATCATCATTTCCAGCTCTGTTCCTTCTCTGACCCAGGAGCAGAGTGCTGGAGAGCAGGCCCAGTGCAGCAGAACTGCATTTGGTTTGTTTTAATTGCTTTTAGCTGCTTGCTGTAATGTTGTCAGCTGCTTCCCAATTAAAAACCACTCAGGTAAATGAACAAACACAGCTGGGAGCAGGGAGGGAAATGCTCAAGCTACAACACTGCCCTCCTCTGCCCAAGCCCAGAATCTGGGAATGGCTTGGCAGAGGGAAGCCTCCCGTGGAGAGCAGCATCCCACACGTGCTGCACAGCCTGAGGAGCTGCTGGCTCTGCACTAATGAGCAATTCTCCATTTGCAGCCCCCCAACAGCCGGCCGGCCTCGCGGGAGATCGACTACACGGCCTACCCCTGGTGAGTGGGCACAGACACAACCCAGCCTGGCCTTCTGGGTGCTGCTGGCTCAGGAATCCACCCCAGCAAGGAATTCCTCATGCAGGGCTCTGCATCCAGCTTGCTCTGTGGCAATGGAGCTGCCACGGTGGTGGTTGGGGGGTGTTGAAAGGCCTGGCAGCAGCTATGGGGATTTCTTCACTGGTGAGGAGGCAAAAAGGGAGATGTTGGTTTCTCTTCCCATTTTCTGTGCCCAGAAAGTGATCGTGGGAGGGAGGAGGCAACGCCTGCCTTGGCAGGAGAGGCTGTGCTTGGCTTGCCTGCTGCTCCTTCTCTGCAGCTCCAGCCAGGTTTATGAATTCATGGATATAAATTAGCCCTGCTCTTCCAGCTCTTGCTGAGGCCTCATTAACCTGGAGGCTGATTCCCAATTAGTGGGTTTTTCCAGGTGTCAGGTACTTCAAAGGGAAGAGGCCACTTTCTGTGTGTGCTTCATGGCTCAGCAGCTTCTTGTGTATCTCAGGGCACTTCCCTTCCTGCTCAGGATATTTCAGATGTTGCTCCACCTGCCTTCCATCCTTCATGCCTTTAAAAAAGATGTCTCTTTTTTATCCCAAAACGTGCCTGTTCAAAGATACAACTTCATTTTAATGAATTTAATGAACTAATTAACCTCTGGGCTCAGGTTTGCAGGGAACATGGAGAGGCACCAGACAGACAACCTGCTCAAGTCCCACGTCAGTGGCACCTACCTGATCCGGGAGCGGCCGGCCGAGGCCGAGCGCTTTGCCATCAGTATTAAGTGAGTAATTCCCCCTTTAGGAACTCAATAATTCAACATTTCTCACCCACAGAGGACGAGCTAGGGCTGGAACACGTGGCTGTGTTGTCTTTGAGTGCCTTTGCTGTCATTGGCAGGTTCAACGAGGAGGTGAAGCACATCAAGGTGGTGGAGAAGGACAACTGGATCCACATCACAGAAGCCAAGAAGTTCGAGAGCTTGCTGGTGGGTTTCTGTTCCCTTTTGTAGCTCTGTGTCTGCTACAAAGGGGGTGGCAGAGACAGCCAGGTGCCTCTCCTTCCTCCCCAGGAGCTGGTTGAGTACTACCAGAGCCACTCTCTGAAGGAGAGCTTCAAGCAGCTGGACACAACTCTGAAATACCCCTACAAATCGCGGGAGCGCTCTACCTCCAGGACCTTCACCCGCTCCCCAGGTAACACCCATGGCTCTCATGGAAAACCTTCCTGCCCCTTCCTGCCAGCTCTAGGAGCAGTGAGTGAAGGAATTGACAGCTTCTCTCTAGGCTTTGAGCTGCTCAGTTTGCAGATACGTCCTTCAGGGCTGGTGGCATTTCAGGATGGGTCTCACTGGAGGTGGTGGGGTCTGTCTGGCCAAGCTGGGGCTCTCTGAAGGGACAGTTTTTGCTGGGACAGGCTGGTTCCTCTCCTGTGGTTTTCCACCCTGTGTTTTGCCCACCCTCTGGTTGGGAGCAGGGGTGTGATGTTCACTTTGTGGGATTTATCCTGTCTCTTCCACCCACGTGGGATTTTTGTGTTTTAATGGATCTGGTTCCAGTGTCACTTGTGGTGGTTTGAATCCCAGTGAGACTCCTTTAATGGAGGTGATGGGTAAAAAGGGTAAGTCTGTCTAAAAGAAAAAGAAAGGAAAAATCAAAATAAATGGAAAGAAAAAAGTGCAATAATGCAAGATGTTGTTTTATCCAAAGGCCTGAGTGCAGAACTTTTCCCCACTGCTTTGTGGGGGAAAATATCTTTTAAATATTTCTCTCCCTGGTATATTTAGAAAAGAATATCAAAGTAAGACAGGTTTTAGAAGTTGGTTAAATACCTTTTTGCATTAAATACAACCTTAGGATGAATTTTGAGCCCCCAGTGGCAGTGGGGCTGTGACCAGACCTTTTCTCAACTGTCCCAGCTTGGAGCCCCTGCACAAGACACTCTGCATGCTTTGCCCTGTATCCCTCCATCAGCTTTTAAAGCATTGTGCCTTATAATATTTTATTTTAATTTCCTTTTTAATGTGTGTTCTGCCTCTTTCTGTTTCTCTCTAACCTCTTTGCAGCCTCCTGCGCTTCCTACAACTTTTCTTTTCTCAGTCCTCAGGGCCTCAACTTTTCTTCTCAGAGCTCCTCCAGTCCCTTCTGGTCAGGTACCAGTGCCTCTCCCTGCTGGAGAGACCTGCCACCATCCCCAGCTTGAAAGCCATCACCAGTGGGACCTCTGGGGTCCCCCCTGTCCCTCCATCCCCACAGGCAGTTCAGGGGGTCCCCAGTGCTGCCCTGGGAAATCAGTTAATTAGCTTAATTAACCGTGGCTTGGTTGGCAGCAAAATGCACTCCCCAAAATCAAGGCAGGGAGGAGATGGAATTGTTGCTGTTTGAGAAAAGGGGGTAAAATTAACCCAAAATAAAAAAGTGGATGTAGCACTTTGGGATCTCATGATGAACTTCAAGCTCCACCTGCTTATCCCATGTGTGTCACCCTGAGCATCAGCATCTCACCCTGTCCCAGCCTGCCCCTCCTTGTGCTCCAGGAGAACATCCAGGATTTGAGCTCTGCTGTCTGGGGCTGCCCAGGAGCCCCTTGCGGAGGGGACAGGGACACACCTGTGCTCTCAGGTGTGGTTTGGGGCTCAGTGTCCCCACAGGGAGTGCAGAGTCATCCTTTCCAGGCTGTCATCCTCACTCCTGATGGGATCAGAGCAAAACCCTGCCAGTTTCTTCCCATTGAAGTTTTTATCTTTCAATCTTGACAGAGGAAATCACCAGCAAAGCCACGTGTGCCCTCCTTGGTGCTGTGGTTGGGAAGAACATTGAACTTTTCAAGCCCAAATCTGGGATTTTGAGATTCTCTAACTGCATTGAAAGTTTTCTGTGTGGCAAGGGGCTCTGAGCAAGCTCCTGATGACAGAGCTCAAAGCTGCCATGATTTCTGTCCATCCTCCAGCCTGGCTGCCTGGCCAGGATAGACAAACCCTCCAGTGGTTGCACATTGTGTATCCAACACCATCATCATCCTCATCTCCTTCCACCCCAAGAGCTGAAAACCTGGGCAAAGCTTTCCCTCCAACTTGTTCAACCTTGGTTTGCACACTTTTACAGTTGAAATTAACCCTTGGAAATCCTGGGAGAAAGAGGGGAGTGAAGCACAGCATCCCCTGAGGATGTTTTTTTTGGGGTTTTTTTGGTGAACTTCAGAGGATGTGCATTTTTCTCCTCCTCTGCCCATCCCACCCCTCCACTGTGGTTCTCCAGCCCTTTTTCCCTGTGCCCAGACCTTGGGGCAGGAATGCTGAGTGCTGCCCCTGCCTTTTCCCTCCTTGTGCTTCCCCTGAGCATCCCCTGCCTGAAGTGATGGAGATCCCTGGGGCTGCTGGTGCAGCTCAGCTCCTGGGGGATGGCTCCTGGGGTCATCTCCTCATCCCAAGGTGCTGCTCAGTGTCAGGTTTGGCACCATTTGGTCTCTAATGGGACCAAGGGACAGGAGCAGGGACGTTCCAGGTTAGGAGCTGGTTCCTCCTCATGGCAGAGCACACAGGATTCACTCCACACCTCTAGGAGAACCCATTCCCAGTAACTCTGGTTTTGAGGTAGCTTAAATCCAAGTTGATTCACAAAGTGGCTCCATCAGGTGCTGGGAGGTGGCAGCTCCATGAGGCAATCTCCCAGAGCTCACACTGAGAGCTGGATAGGATTTCCCCATGATTTGTTAATGGTTGTGTATTCCTATGAAATCCTTCCTTTTACCACCTCCCAGAAGTGCCCTTCACCCCAGTGACCCCCACCACACCCCTGACCACCAGAGAGGAGCTTCCCAAGCCCACAGAACCCTTCAAACCCATCAGGAACCCAGTTCAACCCCACCACCCCACCCAAGCAGCTCGGGTGACGCCACCCCTCCCTCTGAGCAGCTCCACCTCTCAGTGCCACGGTGGAAAACCCAGGTTGAACCTCTGCAAGCTTTCCCCAGGCTTCAGCCAGCGCGGGGCCGCTGCTGAGGCTGTGCTTTGTCCCCTGGCAGTGTTCACCCCCCGGGTCATAGGCACGGCCGTGGCGCGGTACAACTTCGCGGCGCGGGACATGCGGGAGCTGTCGCTGCGCGAGGGGGACGTGGTGAAGATCTACAGCAGGATTGGAGGGGACCAGGGATGGTGGAAGGGGGAGACCAACGGAAGGGTGAGTGCCTCCAGGGCAATTCCTGCAGTGGGGTGTCCTTCTTGCTGTCAGGATGGTAAAGAGAAGGGTCTTGTCTTCATGGTGTTCCCCAGATGAGGGAGGAATGATGAATCTGACTCCATCAGTTCTCAGAGAAGGCTAATTTAACTTTCTAAGACATTATTAATATTATAGTATTTTATTTTAAGATTTTATATTATTTATATTATATTTTATATTATTATAGTGTCTTATTTTAAGATACTATATTATATAAAAGAATACTATACTAAACTATTCTAAAGAATACAGAAAGGATATTTACAGAAGGTTAAAAAGATAATAATGGAAACTCGTGACTCTTTCCAGAGTCTCAACACAGCTTGACTCTGATTGGAAAATAATTAAAAACAATTCACACCAGAAACCAATGAAACAATCTCCAAACACATTCCAAAGCAGCAAAACACAGGAGAAGCAAATAAGATAATATTGTTTTCCTTTTTCTCTGAGGCTTCTTAGCTTCCCCAGGAAAAGAATCCTGGGCAAGGGGATTTTTCTAGAAAATATGACAGTGACAGGAGTGGGTCTGTCCTGTGTCCTCTCACTCTTTGCTGAGTTCTGGGCAGGTTGTCACCTCCTGAGAGTCACCTCTGTGTAGCCATTTGCTGCTTTGTGGCAGTGATATCCAGGGCACACGGGTGGGTGGGAGCATGTGATGGGATGGTCTGATCTTCCCTAAACCCATGGAGGATGTCTGCAAGCCCTGCAGGGGGAAGGGTCAGCAGCCTGGTGGCTTGGCCTGGCACCCCACAGATTCTGTAGCACTGGAGACAGATTCTTCCTGCCTGATCCCTCTCAGGCAGTGTGTCCAAGGTGATCACACCACCCCATATTAGGGTGATTAGGGCTCACACCATCAGGATCTGCCACATCCAGGACTGGCAACAGCATTTAAAGGCAGGGCAATAATCCCAGTGACAGGACAGGAGCTCCCTTATAAAACCAGAGTTGGAAGGGCCCCACAAGGATCATGGTGTCCAACTATAATTGATATTTTTGCCCCCGACGAAGGAGAGGAATTACAAGGAGGACTCCATCTTATCAGAAGGCTAATTAATTACTTTATTATGCTATATTATTCTATATTATATTACATTACACCTAAACTGAATCTGCCAGGCCCTCAACTGCCCAGAATCTTGTGACTGTCACCGGACAAGTCCCCACACACACACCTGGCCCTGATAGGCCAAGGAAACAAAACACCATGACTTTGGGTAAACAACCTCCATATTGCATTCTATTTTGGCACAGCAAATGAGATAAGAATTGTTTTTCCTTTCTCTGAGGTTCAGAGAATGTGAATCCCAGAAATATCCTTGGGAAGAATTGTGCCTTGCTTTTCTCTGTGAAGAGAAACGTGGGGCTGCATCCAACTCCTTGCCTTGCACAGCACACCCCAACAACCCCACCCTGAATTCTCCAAATCCTTGAGCTCCAGCAGGCTCTGTGCTGTTCCCCTGGAGCTTCCCAGCCATCTCACCTGTCCTGTCCCCCCACAGGTGGGCTGGTTTCCCTCGACCTACGTGGAGGAGGAGGGCGTGCAGTGACCGCGGCCGTGGCCGCTGGAAGTCGTCGAGCGCCCGGAGCCAGCAGCTGCAGCCTGAGCACACTGTCCCCGTGCTGGACACCTCCCAGGACTGTCCCTGCAGCCCCTCAGGACCCCCCCTGCGTGCAGGCTGCCCCAGCCTGGCCCCCTGTTCCGTGTACAGAAGATTGCTGGGCTGTGGGACGGCGCCGCTGGAGAGCCGCGCTCTCCCCGATGGACAGAGCTCAGAGACTCTGGGTGCCCTGCAGGGCGTGGGCACTGCACCCCTCCTGTGGCAGGGGCTTCTACAAGCCACCCTGGGGATGCTGGAGGGAGGCTGAGGCTGGAGGGTTTGTGCCTGGGTGAGAATTTGGGGGTTCCAGGGGAGGGAGCCCCGAGGAGGCAATGCAGACCCTCTGCCACACCACTCAGGGGGTTGCCCAGGTCAGGATTTTGGCAGTGGCCCTGGCAGCCATGGGCAGCACTGTGCTGTGGCCAGGGTGAGGGGCAGGGTGGGGACGCCTGGAGAGGGCTGTGACCATTGGAAGTGGAGCTCCAGGTCAGCCAGGAGGGGACAAAGCCATTTTGGCACCCCCGAGCCCATTTTGTTCACAGTCACCTCAGTCCCACCGGCCTTGCTGCAGGCAGGGGGGCGCCCAGGGAGCAGACTGGTGCCACTGGTGAGCAGGAGGTCCCAGTGCGTTGCTGGACTGGAGATGTGCTCCACACGAGGGTTTCAGAGGCCACCAAGGCACCAGGTACATGCAGAGGATGTGTCCGTGGGTCTGTCCTCCCCAAGCCAGGCTGATTTTCCTTGCAGCTGTGACAATTCCCACCTCATGAGCTCAGGGTGAACCCACCTGAACAAGGGCTATGCTATCAAGTCCTGAATCCTGTCCCTGAGCTGTGAAAGCATCTCCTCTCCCCAGCTGTGTGCACTTTTGGGGGCTGGCAGCATTGCCCCCCACTCTTCCTCTTCGTCCCACAGGCTGTTCCTGCTGCTGCTGTCAAGTAAAGGTCCGTGTGTTGTGACATTCCCACTGTGTCCTGAGCACCCTCCGTCCTTCCCAAAGTGCAAATACAAACAAAACCCACGTGTGGGAGCGTGGCAGGGAACAGCTTCCCTGTGTGTGAGCCCCAGGAGCTGCCTCTCTGAATACCTGGCATTTTGAGCTGGTGCTGCCATGCCCTGCTGTTGTTCCCCTGGCATTTGGGGTGGTTCCTGCTGTGGGACCCTGCTGCCAGTCTGGGAGATGCCAGTGCTGGCTGGGTGAGCAGTGCCCTCAGCCCCTGGCATGGGGGTCTGCAAACAGAGCAGCAAAACCAGAACCATGTTTGGGTTAAGAAATGAAATAGTTTGGATCTCTCAAGAGCAAGGGAATGATGCTGACTTGGGAATTACACAATGACAAGCCCAGAGCCCCCCTGCTTTGCTCCCCATTCCTGCTGGAGCTCTGGGAGTGCCCCAATCATGGGGTGTGAGGTGGCTGCAAAGGGGTCTGGCCAGGGCAGGGGGGAGGTGGCAGGGACACAGAGGGGGGCTCAGGGCATTCCCAAGGTACTGTTTGGTGCTACCCCCTCCCAGCCAGCCCCTCCATGCTCGGTTTGAGGGAGCAGCCAGCAGGGAGCTGACAATTCCCTGCCCCTGTGCAGGGCAGAGGGTCCCATTGCCATTGCAGGGGCTGAGGGGGCATTTTGGGTGGGTGGGACACACAAACTCCTGGTGGCTCCTGTTCTTCCTCACATCCCAAAGCCTTACAGCCCTTCCTTTTTACCATGGCCAATTTTGTAAGGGAATCACCTTGGGAGAGCACAGGGACCCCAAAGGGACCCCCACCCTCTGCCTGCCCTGCCAAACCCCCTCCCCCAGAGAGCTCTCCCTCTTTGTGTTTACTGGTGTAAGAAACTTGTTAAAGAAAAGAGATTGTTCTGTTTGTAAGTAATTATTCAGCCATTTGCCACAAATATATCTGTGAATAAGAAAGGGAAATGTTTTTTTTTTATGATGGCGAGAAAATTGGATGTATTATTTTAGGTCGTCTCAAGATCATTGGGAATTGCAATGGGATAAGTTGGAAAATAATATGTAAATTCCTTGGGTTTTTTCCTTTGCACTGCACTAACTGGGGTAGGGTGGAGGGGGCATAAAGATAAAACTGTTTGTTTAATGGAATAGTTTATAGCTGGGAATTTGGAAATCATTTGGAATAGCTTGTAATGCTGGAATAGAAACTTTAGCTGCTACTTAGAAACCCTTTTGCATGTGGTTTTTCCAGGCCTTTTTAAGTTACAATTCATCAAAGTAAATTCCCCAACAGAAAAAAAAAAAAAACCAACAAAATAAAGTGTAATTTTGCTGATAGGTTTTTTTTTCCAGCCATGGTGTTTGATGTGCCAGGGGTGTCAGGGTTGTTGTCACTAAAATCCCTTGGTTCAGGGGTGGCTTGGCCCATCCAGGAAGATGGGTGCTCTCAGGGATGGATCCTTCCTGATTCCTGGCATGAACTGTAAGTGCTTTTACCCTCCAAAATTTTGTGTAGATCCGTCCTGTTCCTGTCAGACTCCTTCTCATTCCTGGAGCAGCTGCCACTCGTGCAGTTGTCCCATCCAGGAGTTTCCCTGTGACTCCTTTTCTGAGCTGAGCCCCTGCAGGGTGAAGGAAAGAAGCTGATTTTCCATGGCTTTTAGTCACTCCTGGATATCCTATTCCACAATCCACCTGGCCCTGCAGGCAGCAGCATGTTCCAGAGCAATAAAAAAGCTGCACAGTTGCTCATAAAACCCCTGAGGTGTTCAGGAGGCCTCACCTTGAGCAGGGATGTGCTGTCCCTGTGAGCTGCCATGTCATTTAATTAACAACATTAATTTTTGCCACCCTTGGAGTCCCCAGTGCTTCATTTTCCCAGGTTCAGCTGGAAGGGGATGTACAGTGAGCAGAGGGGTTTTACTCACAGCATCAGGACATGAGAATTTTGGATGCTGCTTTGGGGAGGTGCTGGGCACTGAATTTTGGATGCTGCTTTGGGGAGGTGCTGGGCACTGAATTTTGGATGCTGGTTTGGGGAGGTGCTGGGCACTGAATTTTGGATGCTGGTTTGGGGAGGTGCTGCCCAGCCAGGTGTTAAGCCTTGGTGCAGGTGCTGACCCTGCCTGGGATGAGCCCTTTCCTCGTGGCTGTTTGGTCTCAGGGCATCTCTCAACATTCACCACGGATTAAATACCAGGTTTAGGTGCCTGCTGCTGAGCCCCAGCCTGGCCCTGGGAGGGTGGAATGGCACAAATGCAGCCCTGGAACCTGCAGCCAAGAGCTGGGCAGTGCAAAACTCTGTCCCCATTCTGTGCTGCCTCTGGGGACGTCCCTGCCAGCCCAGGGCTGGGGACACTGAGCCTTGGGGAGTGGCTGGAGCTGGCAGGTGGGTGCCTTCACAGTGCCTTTGCTCAGCTTTGTGCCAAAATCTGCTGCTGGGGGTTGTTCAGTGCAGGGTCTGACAGCTCAGGAATGAATGGGGCATTGATCCAGCGTGCCCAGCCAGGGCCAGGTGCAGTAACCAGAGCAGGAGCAGCGTTCCAGGGCCATTAACAGCAGGATAAACTCCAGCCAGCCCAGCTGGTTCCATCCTGCACAGCCCCTGGCCTGTCCCAGGAGGATGGGGAACACACCAGGCACAGGGTTTTATTTATTATCCTGATTTTTTTTCCTGCACAGCCCCTGCCCTGTCCCAGGATGGGAGGGACACACCAGGCATGGGGTTTTATTTATTATCCTGATTTTTTTTTTCCTGCACAGCCTCTGCCCTGTCCCAGGATTCGGGGGGACACACAGACATGGGGGCTTTATTTATTATCCTGATTTTTTTTCCTGCATAGCCCCTGGCCTGTCCCAGGATTCGGGGGGACACACAGGCATGGGGTTTTATTTATTATTCTGATTTTTTTCCCCCAGCAAGAGCAGCTGCTGATGAAATCCCCCCTCCCAATGAGCAAACACAGCGTGGGGGTGGCTGTGTTTTCTGGCTGTCCCTGTCACAGTGTGACAACCACCTGCTCTGGCCCTGGCACTGCCCCTCGAGCCCCCTGGCCACCAGCCAGAGCGTGGCCACCTCCCTCTGCCCCTCTGGGGTGAGCTCACCCAACCCACCCCAGGACATCCCAAAACCAGGGGCCAAACTGCTGTGCCACCAGCGTGGGGAAACTGAGGCAGGGGAAACTCAGCACAGCTCTGTGGGATTGGGGTGCTTTGGGGATTTGGGGTGCTTTTGGCTCAGGGGCAGGTGCTGGTGGTGCTTCCCAAGCCCAAATTGGGGCTGTGGGGCACAGCTGAGCCCACAGCTCGGATGAGGATGAGGATGGAAGTGAGGATGTGGTGGAAGAGGCAATGCTGACAGCCTGCAGCACGCCTGGCTGGCTCAGCCCTGCTTTAACCACGTTTGCTGTGACCTAGAAAACTCCAGCTGGCGCCTGAGCTGTATTTTAGAATTAACCTAAAAATTACAGGGGGAGGTTGAACTGTGTGGGCTCCCTCTGCACTGCACTGATCACCCCAAAAATTAACCCCCTCATTCTTGCTCTGGAGCCACATCAGGGCTCAGAGGGGCTGTGGGAGCTGCCACTGTCCCCACTGCCCATCCTGAGCGTGGTGAAGGGCTCATGCTTGGGCTTGTATTGTTCTAGGTCAGCTCCAACCCAAAGGTCATATTGATAATTTGGACAGGCTGATGAAATGGTTCTGGCCTGCCAAACAGAAACTGCAAACAGGAGTTTAGACTTGTTTGCAGCTCTGTGGTTGTTCTGAGCAATTTAGTCCGTGGAGAAGCCTGCAGGGACTGGAACTCTCTGTAAAACTGAGAAACTGAGACAAAATTTGGTTTTGTCTCTGGGAAAAGGAGGGGAAATGCTGCTGGAAACAGGGGATAAAGCTGGGATAAGGGAACCCCTTGGCTGCTGCTCAAACCCTTCCCAAACTGGGGCTGTTTGGGCACCACAGGGTGTCCAGCAGGCAAGAGCAGAGGGATTGGGCACTGAGGAGCAGAATGGGGCACTTCCACTTGAGCTGGATGCTTAAAACCCCCCAAAAACCATCCCATGGCTGCTCTGAGCTCTGCAGGGGTGGGAGATGCTGCCTGGCGGCCCGTGATGCTGCTGAGACCCCAATCCCTCCCAACCAGCAGCCAAACCCTGACTCCACCCCGGCTTCTGCTTCTCTGAGATACCAGCATGAGCCCTCCAGCAGAACTTGTGTGTCCTGCCCAAACAGGCCCTAATTCAGCCCTGAGCTGAAGGAACAACAAACTTCAGCTTTACAGATCAAAATCAAACCCTTATTTTTTACTCAACTCCAATTAAAATTTTTTTTTTGGTGTTGCCACCTTCACTTTGAGCTCTTGGGGTGTAAATGAATTTTATCTCTGTTCTTTGACTGGAGCCACTGGGAACTGCAGCAGGGGGGTCAGATGGTGCTCTCCTGGCCGTGTTTGCTCTCTGGCATCCAGCTGACAGCTCCAGCCAGCCCGGCAGCCTGCGAGTCCCTCTGGCCCCAGCTGGGCTGTTTGTTCTCTGCTGGGCACCCAGCCGGGGAAGAAAAGCAGAATTTTCCTCCCTGCTTTGAATTTCTCTGCTCTGCCACGCTTTTTGTCTTGCCTGGGAAGCAGCAGAGCCACGAGGAAGGGGACAAGGAGGGGGAAAAAGAGGGGGACAAGGAGGTGAGTCTCTCTTTTCTGTTGCCTTGGGCTGGCTCTGCTCGCCTCCAAGTGCTGGTTAATATTTTTTGCAGCAGGGGCCAAGGGGACGGAAGAGGAGGAGGAGGAGGAGGAGAGCATCAGAGGAAGGCAGGGGCCCCACCATATCCTAGGAGGGAAAGGCAGCCCGGAAAGAGCCTTGCTGGTGAGTGGTGCCTGGTGGGAATGTGCCGTGGGCTGTCACCCGAAGCTTGGGGGGACACTGGGGGGACATTGGGGGCTCTGGTGGCCACGTGGCAGCAACAAGGGGTGTCAGAGGGGTCACACTGATCCCTGATCCCCTGCTCATGGCTGTGGTTT